TGGCCTGGCATATACATTTTAGTGATTAGCACTGACACAGGCTGTGATAACTATCATTTTCCTTGTGAACTCTGCCAGTAAACTGGTACAACAACTCTGTTGCTTTAAAAGCACAAGAAAAACTATAATATATAAAAATATATAAAAACAGTTCTCCTCTTTCTGTTTTAGAAATAGGTACAGCAAGGCCTCTATGCCTTTGCTCTTCTATGCTTCTAACAGTAATATAGCTGAATAGTCAAACAGTTAAAATATTGCCTTAAAAGGCTTGGGAAAAGATGCCTGATTGTCTTGTGTATGTATTGGAATGCAAGCAGACTTCCCACTACTTCCTGCTTGGGCAAAAAAAAAAAAATTACTTCTACTAGGAAATGCAGCCTGTGAGATCGAACTGCATTAATTCAACAGAAAGTGTAGGTTTCATTTTGCAACACATTCATTTTCACAATTCTGGCATTTGCAGCACACAGATGTGCACCTGGGAAAAACTGGGCTACGTTTTTGGGTTTTACGCCATCACGGAGTTCTGCTGAAGTTACATACCAGCAGAGTGCAGTAGAACCCAACCTGAAAAACAGCCAGAACGTGCAGTATGCCTGCTCCACTGTTTCATCACTGCTTACCATCACTATTTATGAGGCAGGAAACTACTTGAACCTTGAAGATGTGAGAATCTGCAACAATAAGCCAGACTGGTACAGAGCTTGGAGAAAAGGTATTTTGAGTTATGTCTGTTTCATGAAAAGACTGTTCCTTCAGCAAGTATACTGATTCCAGTTATAAAATATGAATGGTGAGCCCCAGCTCAGCATCATCAGCCTGTAGTGTAACACAGCACTCAGTTATGCTAATGCACACCAATTGACAGTGTGGCCTGATAGTAAGTTAACTCTCATTTAAAAACAGAAATGGAGCATTATTAGGTTTTCCAAAAAAGAAAAGAAAAATTAAAAAAGTAAAAATCATTTTAAATAGCTGAATTGGCCAGCATTAGCTTTCAGCTTTCGATGGCCAGGAACAGCCATAATGAATTACATAATATTTCTTTCTTCTCCCTATGCTTGTATTGGAATTCAGCTTCCTCCAGTGAATAAAATGACAAAGCTTATCTCTCTTTAGAAAAAGTAGCTACTACAAAAACAACGCATACACACAAAATAAAGTAAAGGAAAAGGGTATAATGCAATGATTGAATTCTCTTTCAGAGGGGACATGTCTGCAGAGGGGATATATCTTGCTTCCCTTTGAAAAAACAAAGCTGCTAAATGTTGTCTTTTGTTATAAGTCTCACAATATGATGTGCAAACTTTCTTCATGGACCGCAGGTCTAACCAATATATGCCCATTGTTGGGAGTGGAATGCTTTCCATACCCTGTACGCATCTGTATTGGCATGCAGCCTGACTTGTGAGCTTACTCAGAGGCTCATCCAAAGTCTAACTCACTGCTGGAACTATTTTCCTTGATTTCAACTGATTCTGGATTAGAAGCCTTAAAATAATCAAAATTAAAAGTCCATGCTCATCTCCCATCCTGACAGCATCTTAATGCTTTGTGGAAGTCTGTGTTTCTTTCATCACAGTGCTCTTTAAAAGTAAGCAGAAGAGGACTGTAGGTAGGCGTGACAGTGAGGCAAGAGAGGTGGAAATAGAAGCACAAACAATGAAAGATGTGCAGGCAAAGATAAATTTCATTCTCAAGTAACAGGGCAAATGAGCCAAGTACTTCCTCTAGGCCATTCAAATCCACTAGCATTCAAAACATTTTTGAGTCTTGGAACATCAGCCACAGGGTCGTCATAAAGTAGGAAGGAACAACTTGAAGCCTATCAAGTTGATAAATGCTTGTTCTTGGTGGTAAGAAAAGTCCTGGAAAATGCAGTGAGATGCAGGACAGCTTATTAAAAATTATTGTTTGATGAGAGGCAGATTTTGCTGGTGGGAGTGTGCGTGGAGGAAATAACAAAAGGGTGATAGGCAAGAAGCAGGAATATAACTTGCATGTTTTGGAGAAGTGCTTGTTGTAATATGATGCAGAAGCTGAATCTGCAAGGTCAGTAAGGAAGGAAGCCAGAGTTTATCTAAGCTAAGGCACAGATATCAGTAAAGACTCAAAAATGATGAGCTAAAAGAAATAAGCTATTCTTTGACAGCTGATGTTCCTGACAAACTATATCCAGCTCTCCCAGGAGTAGATATATGAGCCCTGGTGCCTGCTCCAAAGCCCAGCCTCCTAGAGGTAATTGTGATCTGCCTGAGACTTGCATCCTGCTGCAGTTCTCAAACGCATTATTCTTCTCTCTATTAGATGCTCTAAAAAGCTTCAACAATTATACTGTTACAGACTACCTGGCACTCACCCAGCTCAAAGGTGACTGCATTTCTAGCAGTGGAGGAAACTTCAGATACAGAAAAATGTACTCATTCCAGCAAAGGCCATAAAGTGAGTTTACATCTGTTGTGGTTTTAAGTGACTTAAACCCTTGAAGTCTGAAATAAATGTGTATGTGTTTTAATATGCTCAAATGAAAGTGTTGTGATTATATTATAGTTATGAGAAATTCAGGAAAAAATATCAGAAGAAAAAAAAAAAAAAAGTACGGTTGCGTAACAAACCAAGGTAAATTCATTTCCTTTCTTCCTAGGCTTTTTACATTCCTGAGAGGAGGAACTGTTAAGAGATTGAGTTCTCCATTCTGTCGTATACTTTCCATTTTACCTCAAATGTTGCAACATATACAGAGGCTATAGCACTGTGACACAAAAGCCTAAAAATTGCTGAAGTTGTTAATACTGACAGGAGAGCATGTTGATTAGTTACCTTGTTCAGTTACAGCAGGGCAAGCATTAGGTATAGACTACACTTTATTTGGCTTAGTAATTTAATTTCACTATTTGTTGCTATGCCTAACCTGTATGGAGATGAATGAAAAGCATTCTGTTGACCTGAAAATCGGCTTCCACCTCCAATGCAGTAAATCTGCAAACAGGAGCTGTTTCACTAGATGTACTTTAAGGGTACTTGATTTTTCTGCCCTCATGAGTTCAGTGGACACTGAATCCAGTCCTTAGTGCTTTGGATATCTCACTTTGATTTCCTAGCTAGCTGTAGAAATATAGTTAAACTGAGTTTATTTGGGGTTGCTGTTTAGCTGCATTTTGTTTCGTAACATGCTCAGTTATTTCCAGTCCTCCTGACTTCAGTGGGAGCCTCAACCTCTTGCTTTAGCAAATCAGGCCTGCTTATACCTTTGCTTTGGTCACTTCTGCTGTTTCTTTGGCACTTGTCCTAGGAATCAAACTCTTCAGCAGTGACCTCCTTGCCAACCCCTTACGCACTATGCAGAAGCAACAGAAAACCACTGCCCCTTTTTCCTAGACAGGTATCTTTGGCCATGATTCAGCGACACACAGGGATATGGGGGCCAATTCTGCAGCTGTATCCCCTGGAGCTCTCATCTGCCAGATGGCCCCATTCCCTCCCCTCTAGCCCATAGAGGTGGCTGCTTCCAGACCAGCCTCGTCTTGTCATGGTCTATGGAACTCAGAGCTAGGATGGAACAGGGAGGAGTGGGGCAGGCATGTGCTTGTGGATGCGGCAGCCAGGGCTGGCAGTAGCCAGGTACGGCTTGGAGGATTGTTCTACCATCCCCAGGCTTCACCACAGACCAGCCTCTCCATCCCCACCCCCATCCCCCCTCCCCCTTTCCAGCTGGGAATGAAACCAGCAGCAATTACTCAAGCCAAGCACGTAAATCTGGCAGGTCCCACGGCCCTCATTTGACGCAGCTACGCAGTGCAATGTCTGGACGCCCAACCCACTCCCCTCTTCCCCTCATGTTTATTTGCCCTGAAGAAAACAGCAAAGTTACCAACTTTGCCAGCAGTGAGCTGTACCAAGGGGAGAAGGAAAACGGGGTGCCAGGGAACTGGAAGATCAGGGAAAAAGGATCAGCAGGGACAGGGAAGCCGGGGCCAAGAGTGCAAGATGGGTTTGGCTGCATTGCATGAGGAGCTGAGCTGCCCTGGCTCAAGGCTGCAGAGCGCACGGGACCGACCCTCTGTGGGTGCAGGAATGCCCTGGGGGCTGCCGCTGGTCTGGAGGGACCCCACAGACCAGGTGTTACATAACTCCAGTTTCCCTTGCATCAATGCCCTTCCACCAGCTGGCCGGGTGGGAGACAGGCTGACATGCTAAATGCCGCTTAATTTCAAGAACTGAAGCTTACTGTTTTTATTTATTTATTTATTTTAATTTCGAGCCCTTTGCACTCCGACTTGCTGAGGAACCCCGCAAAACCCCAACTGTTTCAGCCTGAGGTCCCGTCCCGGAAGGAGCGAGCAGCGCAGCTGTCAGTAGGTTTCCCGTGCGGCAGGGCAGGGGCTGCCCGAGGCTGGCGGCCGGGGGTGGTGCGGAGCCGCAGGGCTGCAGCGCGCCCGCCTCCGCCTGCACCAGGGCTCCGCGCCCGGCGCGCCGTGGCGCTCTCCGCGGTGCTGAAACAGACGCTGTCCGCGGTGCTGAACCGCCTCCCGTTCCTGCAGAGCCGCAGTACTCTCTGCCGACCTCCCCCCGGCCTCCGTCCGCGGTGCCGAAGCGCCGCCGCAGCCCTGCGCGGTGCTGCGCGGGAAGGGCGCTGCAGTGCCCTGGGCGGCTGCAGCCCTGCGCGACCCAGCCGAGCAGAGAACCCGCAGCACCCTGCTCCCGCTCCGGGTTAGAAATGCGCTGCTCGCCCTTCTCCTCCGGCTTCCTGTCGCCTTCGAGCGAGCCCGGTACAGAGGAAACACAGAGCTCGGCTCCCTGCCATGGTTCCAGCCGGCGATAAAGCTGGCGGCAGCATTACACCCCTTTCCTCGACTTCCTCCATCCCTGTAGCAACCCAGATACAGGAGACAAAACGCCGAGCGGGTCCCTCTTTAAACAAATCCTTTTATCGCTTCATTTTCGTTACTACGGCCCCCTCCCCTTGCGCAGTTGATGGCCCGGTGGTCTCCCGCCCTTACCTCGGCTTGTGCAACGCTCTGCCGGGCCGCCTCGGCGGAGTCGGTGGCTCGGAGCCGCAGCTGGGAGGCAAGGACAGCCGCTGCTGACCTCCTCGGGTCTCCTTCTTCAACGGACCGAGAGCCGTGCCCTCATCAAAGATGGCCGTCCGCTCCTACGTCAGCAGCTTTTAATAGCCATCCCTGGCGGGGGGGTGGGGAGGGGGACGGGGGGAGGCGGGAGCGGGCGGGGGGCAGAGCGGGCCGGGCGGGCGGGCTTGAGTCATCGCCGCCGCCGCCGCCCGCTCCGCTCCGCTCTCCTCGCCACGCCGACAAGCGGCCCCGCCGGCCCTCTGCCGAGGCTGGGGGCCGGGGGCTGACCCGCCCGGGGAGGGGGGGACGGGGGCCTCCTGCAGCAGCATGCCTCCGCCAAAGGGGTGGTCCGAAGAGGGTATCCCTCTGAAGTCCCCGGTACTCCATATATGGCCAATCTACGTGGGCTTCTATTTTTATGTGTGAATTCTTCCTTCTCTCCCTCTTTTTATGTTTCAGAGCATCCTGCCACGGGTCTGAGTGTGTTAATCTGATTATTCCCCTTTCCTTCCCCTTGAAATAAGAGCAGGCAAATGCAAGGAAATCCACAGATAAGGACATGTGCTGTAACCGATCATTTGAGAGACAGGTTTAGAAAAAGAGAGAGTGAAGAAAAAAAAAAGAAGAAAAAAAAAAAAATCCTCACCAAAAACTCAGGCATGTACGTGCATACATACAGCAGAGAGAGAACAGACCACTGCTGCCAAGGAGGAAAGCAGTGATTCTGTTCTGGGAAAAAACTTGGCTTATTTATCATGGATTAATTAAAATATTTGTTCAGAGCTTACCTAATTTGGAGCGAGTGGATCTGTCTGTAGTGTGATATTTAATGGGGAGGAAATCCTCTCACTTGTTACAAAACATCTTTCTGTAAAAGGTATCTCTTAGCAGGGATTTTAATGAAGGATGGGGATTGCATCTGAAATGCGACACTCTTTCATAACCTCAGTTATCCCTTCCTTTTCATTCCACAAGCCTGCGCACGTTCGTGTATGGAACCATCCAGACCTACCCACGAGCAGAGGTGCCTCCGTCTGAGCCTCTCTTGTGAGCAATCACTGAGCACTGGCTATGCTTAACTCTGACACCATGCTAATGGCTTTTCTAAATAGTCTGCAGATAACAGAGAGTCAAAACATCAGTCCCATATTAGTGCTAATTCTTCCCTAATCATTATGATTTTTTTTCCCTTATTGCCGTGGCAGGGAAAACCGGAAGAGGGGGAAGGCTCTGCAGCTGTATTTTGGAGCACGTTTGTCTCATGTTGTGGTTGTATGGGGGTGGAGGAGGGAAGGGGAGGGGATGTGCGGGGGGTGGGGGGGGGGGGAGAGGAGGGAAGGAGAAAGAACTGCGGTAGTTCCTCCTCCCCTGCTCTGTAGTTCCCCACAGAAAAACGTGATTGTAGATCATGCTTTGCAATTCTCACCCTCTCCTACGAAAATATGTCCTTCAGTCTCGTTTGGAAGGAAGCAGTCAAAAGTTTGCTAAATATACAACAAAGGAATTCTCAGGGAAGAGGGGCTCCCTGCTGCAGTAGAGTATCTGATGAGCTGCACACATGAAAACCGCAGGGAAGGAGAGAACCTGTAAGATTTAAGAGCTGTAAAGACAGACAAGCAGAGTGAGATCAACGCTGTGCAGACAGCCCACCTTCTAGGTGAGGGATCTGGATCAGCAGCCTGAGTAGGACTTGGGTTTAGCATCATAAATGACAGGGTGAAAAGGCAAACCTTTTCTGGTGAGCTCATACATGGGTTAACAGTAGCCTGCACTTCAATTAGGTATGCACTGCAGAAGGCAAAAGGAATCCCAGCGTGTGTCTCCATCTGAAATCCAGGCAGTCCGTGCACATGCATTGTGCTTTGCAAGTTCTCAGTACACACAGAAAGTTAAGAAGAAATTCTCAGACAGCTTGTCTGGTAGGTGGTTTTGAAACGAAGTACAATTTTTAAGAGAGCAATGCTAGTTCTTATTAATAATTCATAGTGATGGTAGATAAGGAAAGTGAGAGAGAAATTATAAACTCTTATTTTGACTAAGCCACCAGCACTGCAGAATCCTGGCTGAGTTTGGATTCAGCCAAATAACACTGTTGAGAAGAATTTCAGTCCATTGGATACCAGTGGGGATGAATTTGGCCTCTTGCGTCAAAAGCCCGTAAGGAAAATGCAGAGAAGGCAAAAACCAAAAATGAAAAAAAAACAACAAAACAGCACAACTTAGGGAAAGAGTGCTCAGGAATGGTCAAAGGAAGACAGAAGAAAGAGGGGGCAGAAGGAGGGGTGGATGTAGGTTTCTACTGAGAAAACTGAGTTCAATTTCAGATTAATTTTCAAGCTCTGCTGCAGCAGAAATCATGTATTCTAATAAAACAGCATAAGGCAGAATCACTAAATAGACCATGAACATTGCCCATTAAGTTCAGTAGAAACAAATACCTCTCCTACAGTTGGTTTGTGGGTTTTTTTGTTGTTGTTGTTCTTTTTTTTTTTACTGAATAAAGGAGGAGATACCTTTTATACTCAGGAAAGTGTATGCCTCCATCCTGGGAGACGCAGGGGGGGGCAGCCTTTTGCACCGCGGCACCGGGATTTCTGTTGCAATAAGCACTACTAAGCAATTTCAGCTTGTTCTCTAGCATCGTTTGGGGATGCTTTGTTTTTTAAAAAAAGGGGGGAAAGGGAGAGGGGAGTTTATTGACTGTCTCTAATAGTATATAAACACTTAATGCTGTGTGAAGGAGAGCTGTGAGAAGTGAAGCCTAAAAATGAGGTAGGAGGAGAGAGAAAACTAGAATTTGCTCTAAGAATGATTCAGCTCTCTCCTTATTATTCAGGCAAATATTCAGTAAGCTGAACAACTAGTACCTGTGGGCACAGCCTGTGGATAATGAGACAGGGAACATGTTTTGCTACATGAGGGTGGCATGAACTGGGTTCCACTGTTACCAGCCAGGAGCCAGAGTGATGCAGAGCAGGCAGAGCCTGCAGCATGATATCAGGGACGAAACGACAGCCCATGTTTTGTCCACAATTTGAGGTTTGGTTGCAGACAATAGAAGCTCTTTGCTCACAGAATCACCTCCGGTCTCCAAAACATGAACCTGCATGCTGCAAAGCTGTGCTGTGAGGCAGAAAGCAAGAAAACACCAAAATGCTGAGTAGTGCCACCAGGTCCTGGATGTTAATCCCTGGGCTCTTCCAGAGACAGTCATAATGCAGAGACTGCCATGGTCCCTTCCACATTCCCCAGGTATTTCCATTTTTTGTTAGCAGAGAGGGAAATACCTTGTGCTGCTCATCTGTGCCTCTAGTATGCAGATGAGAACTAGGACAGAAGGAGCAGAAAAAGAGAAGAGAAAAATATACCTGTTTTGGCACTTAACATTTTATAGCCTTTCTGATTTCTGCATTTTCTCAGACTTGGATGCCAGGGCATTCCCTAGTCCCCGAAGGGCTGGGCATTTGGAGTCATTTGAGGATCAAGCCCCTTATGCTCAGGTCCTATTTATTTTGTGGCATTTACTGCTGTTTATGTAACTACTGAATTTTGACCATTAGTGGCAGTTGCATGTATGTACCCCAGGCTACTTCTGGTTAAATTTGAGGGAACAGCTAGGCCCAAGTTACTTTTTTGTCCCTGCATTTTCAGATTCTCTAGATACACAAGTAATCTGTGGGCTTTCCAAAGGACCTGTCTGTGATACAGTGCTCCATTTCAAGACAAGCCAACATTCCTCTGAGGCTTATGTTCATAAAAAAGAAACTTAAAATCAGATTTTAACATAAACCCTCAGAGATGAGTCCCCGCTGATTTCCTGATTACTCTCTTAGCTGTGCAGAGCCAGATTCCCAAAGTGTTTTGGTACCTTCCTTCCAACTAGCCCTTGGCAGGCAACTAGGGCTTAAATATTTGGAGAATCTGGGCTGCTTCTGCTGCCCCCACTTCCCTCAGCCTGTGCTGGGCACCTTCCCACTGCTATGTAGTCTGCTTTGAGTCGTTTCCAGCAACGCCAATTTTTAACATCTATTAACCAAAAGGAGAAATAGCCACGACGTAATTGAATAACCAGGGATTATGGTTTAGCAAGGAGGTGTGGCTGGTCCAGAATCTCCAGGAGGCTTGCCAGTGTGGGCTTTAGGACAAGCTCAACAAAGGAAGGCATGGGAAGCAGGTGAAAAGGAGACCACTGTCCTCAGGCTCAGAGGGATGAGCTGTAGACCCTCATATTACAGCAGGAAAATATCTCAGCCACCTGAGTAGCTCTAACAAACACAGCTGAGAGGGCCAGTAGAGCCTTCCTTTACCTTTACTACTTTAGAGAGAAGTCTGTTAGCATGCGAATACACATTCAGAATCAACCCCATAGTACTGTGCTACCAGGAGGTATAATAAAACCTTAACTTATTATTGACATGGGAAGAAGGCTCTGCGTAAGTTGCATTAGGCACAGAGAGACTGTCAAGATATGGGATACAGAGGAAGGACTAGACTCTTTGTACTGCATATTGTAGGCAAAAGTAGGTATGTACGTAATTGTGTCTGCTGTGTGACAGAGACGGTAAATAAGGGTTAAACTCCATTTTTCATTAAAGCAATCTCTGCTGCTTTAATAAAATAAATCAAGGAGCTGTTTTTAACTCTGTCTGCTTGATAACAACCTGTTAGAATGCTCTCCGAAACAGCCCTGGTACTTTGTGGCGCAATGTCCAGTGTCTACTCTTCCCTCTTGAACATCAGTGTCAAGGTGTCTCAACTCAAGTCAAGGTGTCTCAACTATCAAAGGAAAAACAATACTCCGGAAAATGTTCCTGTTCATGCGGTTTGTGCTAGCAAGTTAATGCTGCCATGTGGCTGACGCATGGCATGTGGCACATGGCTTGTGTGACATAGCTTTGTAGCTTGCAGCACATGTCTCATGGCATATGGCTCATGGCTTGTAGCATGTAGCTTGTGGCATGTGACCTATATATATATGACAGAAC